GGGAGTGTATGAGAGGGAGCGTATGTGAGGCAGTGTATAAGAGGACGTGTATGTGAGGCAGTGTATGTAAGGGAGTGTATGTAAGGGAGTGTATGAGAGAGAGTGTATGAGAGGATGTGTATGAAAGGGAGCGTATGAGAGGGAGCGTATGTGAGGGAGTGTATAAGAGGACGTGTATGAGAGAGAGTGTATGAGAGGATGTGTATGAAAGGGAGTGTATGAGAGGGAGTGTATGTAAGGGAGTGTATGAGAGGACGTGTAAGAGAGGGAGTGTAGGAGAGGACGTGTATGAAAGGGAGTGTATGAGAGGGAGTGTATGTAAGGGAGTGTATGAGAGGACGTGTATGTGAGGACGTGTATGAAAGGAAGTCTATGAGAGGGAGTGTATGTAAGGGAGTGTATGAGAGGGAGTATATCTGAGGGACTGTATGAGGGGACGTGTGTGAGAGGGAGTGTATGAGAGGACGTGTATTTGAGGGAGCGTATTTGAGGTCGTGTATGAGAGGGAGTATATGTGAGGGAGCGTATGTGAGACAGTGTATGTGCGAGAGTTTATGAGAGGGAGTGTATGAGATGGAGTGTATGAGAGGGAGCGTATGTGAGGGAGTGTATGTGAGGGAGTGTATGTAAGGGAGTGTATGAGAGGACGTGTATGAGAGGGAGTGTATGAGAGGGTGTGTATGAGAGGGAGTGTATGTAAGGGAGTGTATGTAGGGGAGTGTATAAGAGGGAGCGTATGTGAGGCAGTGTATGTAAGGGAGTGTATGAGAGGGAGTGTATGAGAGGGAGTGTATGTAAGGGAGTGTATGTAGGGGAATGTATGAGAGGGAGTGTATGTGAGGGAGTGTATAAGAGGACGTGTATGTGAGGCAGTGTATGTAAGGGAGTGTATGTAAGGGAGTGTATGAGCGGACGTGTATGAGAGGGAGCGTATGTAAGGGAGTGTATGAGAGGGAGCGTATGTGAGGGAGTGTATAAGAGGACGTGTATGAGAGAGAGTGTATGAGAGGATGTGTATGAAAGGGAGTGTATGAGAGGGAGTGTATGTAAGGGAGTGTATGAGAGGGAGCGTATGTGAGGGAGTGTATAAGAGGACGTGTATGAGAGAGAGTGTATGAGAGGATGTGTATGAAAGGGAGTGTATGAGAGGGAGCGTATGTGAGGGAGTGTATAAGAGGACGTGTATGAGAGAGATTCTATGAGAGGATGTGTATGAAAGGGAGTGTATGAGAGGGAGTGTATGTAAGGGAGTGTATGAGAGGACGTGTAAGAGAGGGAGTGTAGGAGAGGACGTGTATGAAAGGGAGTGTATGAGAGGGAGTGTATGTAAGGGAGTGTATGAGAGGACGTGTATGTGAGGACGTGTATGAAAGGAAGTCTATGAGAGGGAGTGTATGTAAGGGAGTGTATGAGAGGGAGTATATCTGAGGGACTGTATGAGGGGACGTGTGTGAGAGGGAGTGTATGAGAGGACGTGTATTTGAGGGAGCGTATGTGAGGTCGTGTATGAGAGGGAGTATATGTGAGGGAGTATATGTGAGGGAGCGTATGTGAGACAGTGTATGAGCGAGAGTTTATGAGAGGGAGTGTATGAGATGAAGTGTATGAGAGGGAGTGTATGTGAGGGAGTGTATGTGAGGGAGTGTATGTGAGTGAGGGTATGACAGAGAGAGTGTATGAGAGGGAGCGTATGTGACGGAGTGTATGAGAGGACGTGTATGAGAGGGAGTGTATGAGAGGACGTGTATGAGAGGGAGTGTATGAGAGAGATCGTATGAGAGGGATCGTATGTGAGGTAGTGTATGAGACGACGTGTATGAGAGGGAGTGTATGAGAGAGATCGTATGAGAGGGATCGTATGTGAGGTAGTGTATGAGACGACGTGTATGAGAGGGAGTGTATGAGAGAGATCGGATGAGAGGGATCGTATGTGAGGTAGTGTATGAGACGACGTGTATGAGAGGGAGTGTATGGGACGGAGCGTATGAGAGGGAGTGTATGAGAGGGAGTGTATGAGAGGACGTGTATGAGAGGGAGAGTTTGAGAGGACGTGTATGAGAGGGAGTGTATGAGAGGACGTGTATGAGAAGGAGTGTATGAGAAGGAGTGTATGAGAGGGAGTGTATGAGAGAGATCGTATGAGAGGGATCGTATGTGAGGTAGTGTATGAGACGACGTGTATGAAAGGGAGTATATGTGAGGGAGTGTATGAGAGGGAGTGTATGAGAGGGAGCGTATGTGAGGGAGTGTATAAGAGGACGTGTATGAGAGAGAGTGTATGAGAGGATGTGTATGAAAGGGAGTGTATGAGAGGGAGCGTATGTGAGGGAGTGTATAAGAGGACGTGTATGAGAGAGATTCTATGAGAGGATGTGTATGAAAGGGAGTGTATGAGAGGGAGTGTATGTAAGGGAGTGTATGAGAGGACGTGTAAGAGAGGGAGTGTAGGAGAGGACGTGTATGAAAGGGAGTGTATGAGAGGGAGTGTATGTAAGGGAGTGTATGAGAGGACGTGTATGTGAGGACGTGTATGAAAGGAGTCTATGAGAGGGAGTGTATGTAAGGGAGTGTATGAGAGGGAGTATATCTGAGGGACTGTATGAGGGGACGTGTGTGAGAGGGAGTGTATGAGAGGACGTGTATTTGAGGGAGCGTATGTGAGGTCGTGTATGAGAGGGAGCATATGTGAGGGAGTATATGTGAGGGAGCGTATGTGAGACAGTGTATGTGCGAGAGTTTATGAGAGGGAGTGTATGAGATGGAGTGTATGAGAGGGAGTGTATGTGAGGGAGTGTATGTGAGGGAGTGTATGTGAGTGAGGGTATGACAGAGAGAGTGTATGAGAGGGAGCGTATGTGACGGAGTGTATGAGAGGACGTGTATGAGAGGGAGTGTATGAGAGGACGTGTATGAGAGGGAGTGTATGAGAGAGATCATATGAGAGGGATCGTATGTGAGGTAGTGTATGAGACGACGTGTATGAGAGGGAGTGTATGAGAGAGATCGTATGAGAGGGATCGTATGTGAGGTAGTGTATGAGACGACGTGTATGAGAGGGAGTGTATGAGAGAGATCGTATGAGAGGGATCGTATGTGAGGTAGTGTATGAGACGACGTGTATGAGAGGGAGTGTATGGGACGGAGCGTATGAGAGGGAGTGTATGAGAGGGAGTGTATGAGAGGACGTGTATGAGAGGGAGAGTTTGAGAGGACGTGTATGAGAGGGAGTGTATGAGAGGACGTGTATGAGAAGGAGTGTTTGAGAAGGAGTGTATGAGAGGGAGTGTATGAGAGAGATCGTATGAGAGGGATCGTATGTGAGGTAGTGTATGAGACGACGTGTATGAAAGGGAGTATATGTGAGGGAGTGTATGAGAGGGAGTGTATGAGAGGGATCGTATGTGAGGGAGTGTATGAGATGACGGGTATGAAAGGTAGAGTATGAGAGGAAGTGTATGAGAGGGAGCGTATGAGAGGGATCGTATGTGAGGGAGTGTATGAGAGGACGGGTAAGAAAGGAGTGTATGAGAGGGAGTTTATGAGAGGGACTGTACGAGAATGAGTGTAGGAGTGGGAATGTACGTGATGGGGCGCATTTGTGCGGAACCTGACAGCTAGGAGATAAACCTTCATCACCGAGCCGGTTACACCGCACACAACACGAGCACACACGCACCCACAAACGCGAACAGACGCGCGCGCACACAAACACAGACACACAACACGCGCACGGATATACACACGTTCACACGACACACACACACTCGCACGCACAGATGCACCTCTCCTTACGAAACATATGTTCATTACATGCATGACCAAACATAAGACACAGGATACCTTTCCTATTTTAAAAGATGTAGTCTAAAAGGCAAGGCGTTTTGTGACATAATGATTGACTTATCATGTAGATATAAATGTCTATTTTTTACGTTTATATTCCTCTTGGATCAGGGTCAATACAAGTCATGAACGTTGCCCTACCACAATCTCTACGACATCACCAGCAAATAACAAAATTAACGCAAATTTACATAATTCGACACAAGGTTCAGGAAGTAAATCTTTTCACAGTCACGGGTGGATGTACTTTCTACCTTTCATTGTTGACTTTCCATTGTGTGCCATGCTGTCAGTTGTTTACAGCCAATACAGTAAGCCATTATTAACATCCTCATTGTTTACCAGTCGTTTCCGACTTCTGAATGTCTATGTGTTTCTGCATAACGATATAGCTTATACGGTGATCTCCGAGAGGCGACATCGACGGTTGTAGTAAGCAGGACAATGATGCAAAATCCCAACACAGACTGAGAACAGGTTATTTGGATAACTAAATTATAGCAGGGGGGATTTCCAACAGAAATAATGTAAGTGTATTTGCAGTGACCCAAGGTCATTTACCAGAGACGCCATGCGCCGTGTCACACGGGATGGTTGGAAGTGACCGGGGACCTGCCCACAGTACAGACAGATTACAGACAATAGAAACAGCGTCAGCGTTGTGGTCAGTCCATACGGACCTTGAAGGGGGACCCAAGTCAATGAGGACGAATGAATGTTTCGTGGAGAAGGGAATAACTTGAGATGCAACTCTCGGATCTTAGTTTTTGTATCATTGTTGTTTGGTGGCAAGGTGAAGCAAGACAAACATCGTGAACGTCGGCGTCATGTCATTGCGACACTATCATGGCTGGTGTATAATATGTACAGGATGTGCATTTTTCTTGTCAAACAACATGTTTACCCAATCGGGTGACCTGATACAATATATATTCCAGTGAGTGTTGCAGCCAAGGGAGAAAAGTTATGTTTTTCGCGTCACGAAATGAGATAAACATGTCGTTTGACATTAAAAGACAAAAATTTAATACATTATGAGTCCTCTCGCTGATCTTTAATGTCTCAGATTGAAAACCACAGTGTATATACGGAGAACAGTGCATTGTGTTCTCCTGTGTCTAGGTGAATGTGTGAATTATTTCTTGTATGTCTTTCAGGACGTGCGCCGCTACATGAACACCTGCCCCTACACAGTGTTCGCCGACACAGCCCTGCCTCAGGTGTTCAACTTGTTCAGAAGCATGGGGTTACGCCACCTACCGGTCATAAATCACCAAGGAAAGGTAACGGCATCTGACGGTATTGCCTATAGTTAATCCTCGTATGGAGGCAACGTATTCAGGGCATGCATGTCGATACAAATCAACATTGGAAAACAACTGTGCAAACATCTGAACACTTCAAGCCTGGGTTCGGTAACTGATGGTCAGTCGGACAGTCAAGGCTATCCTGTTACAAGCTTGGTATATCAGTTCCTTAGCGTTTGATCGTAACATCGCCATACGGCTTCCGTCGTTGTCTTGTTGAAAGCACCCTTCCATCTGAATGTCCACACGCGGGCCCTTTTCTGTTGAGGCATGTTAAACATTTATACATGCGGCAGTGTTATATAGATGCTCGGGTACATTAAAAGTAGACACTTTGACTGAGTATTTGAGGACTGCCGGTGAGCCCTGATACCCGGAATGCAGTATGCTTGATGGACAGGGTAGCGAACGTAACGCACGTTGCGAAAGAAAATAATGGGGATTGCGTTTAGTAGGAACATCAGCTTGTATGTTCGCCCTGAAGAAGAGAACAGGGTGTAGAATGCACATGCACTGCGACATCTTGTCTTGTCTAAATACAACGAGATCATGTACTTCTCGCATGCCGCGCTGCATTTGATGGACAAGAGTGACTTGCGTGCTTCACGGATGATTCAGCAAACGGAGGATGTGCTGAATTAACTATGATTAGCAACAGTTCCAATGAAACCGCATGATATCTGTTATTGACTCAAAGCCATTAACATCAGAATGTAACTCATGCTTTAGTTCTCCTGTAAATTATAAATCAATTCTCAACCTAAACTAGTTGATTTTAGGGAAAACACCGGTTTATGTGTTTTAGTGGGGTTTTTTTTAAATTTCTGTGACTAAGGGTTTGAAAGTGTACACGATTTGAGTTGATGTTGAGTTAACGTGCGGGCTGCTGTTGACTAAACGATCAATACGATCGCGAGCTTCTTCTACTGTTTAAGTCCCGGCATTCAGTATACTTGGAGGTGAGATGAGGTGAGGCGAGGTTTAACGTCGCGTTGAAGATTATTGCACTTATATAGCGACGTAAATGCACGTATGTTAGTGTGTTTGTATGTCTGTTTTCACTTGTCCGGACGAATGCAGAATTTATAGTGTTAGTCCACTGAGATACCATGCCGCAGTTTAAGGTGAACAGACCACTCTGTCACAGAACACTTACTCACATCACCAGCTGAGCCCAACACAGGTCACATCAAGAAACCAACACGCATCACACCAAGAGACCAACACATTTCACATCAAGAGACCACCACATGTCACCAGCTGAGCCCAACACAGGTCACATCAAGAAACCAACACGCATCACACCAAGAGACCAACACATTTCACATCAAGAGACCAACACATGTCACCAGCAGAGCCCAACACACGTCACACCAAGAGACCTACACATTTCACATCAAGAGACCAACACACATCACCAGCAGAGCCCAACACGCATCACACCAAGAGACCTACACATTTCACATCAAGAGACCAACACACATCACCAGCTGAGCCCAACACAGGTCACATCAAGAGACCAACACACGTCACATCAAGAAACCAACACGCATCACACCAAGAGACCAACACATTTCACATCAAGAGACCAACACATGTCACACCAAGAGACCTACACATTTCACATCAAGAGACCAACACACATCACATCAAGAAACCAACATGCATCACACCAAGAGACCAACCCACATCACATCAAGAGACCAACACAGGTCACATCAAGAGACCAACACACGTCACATCAAGAGACCTACACAAGTCACAGCACTATGGGGCCAACTGGGGGCCAACACACAATTAAATCACACTCCAATACAATATGCAAGGCAGCACAATACAACACTGAGCGGGTGTTGTACAACACAACACAAACACTACATCTTTGTACTCAATACCATAAGACACACTCCAGTACAAATCACTGAATCGATTCACCACGTCCAACTAAATGTAGGGGTTTGTTTCTATCAAAATTATATATTATCAGAGACTTCGCGTTAGTCTACAAAATGGTTGGCTGGGCATGTTAACTCGTAACGCACGCTTTGGAGGGGTTTGGACGTGTCTTTGTCAGTATTTGCGTATTCTACTTACAGCTTGTGGGGATGATAACACGACACAACCTCACTCACCACTACCTTGAGGAGGAGCTGCATCGCCAAGGCAACAACCGCTGAGGAGATGGGTGGAAGATGATTATCATTCATATCAGCCTCAGTATCACCATAAGAGCCTCAGTATCACCATATGAGTAAACTGCTATCCACATTGAATTCTTTGCCATATTACTGTTTGTCGGAACGTTAAAGTATGGCACATTTTTTAATGAATTAAAAATGGACAGCAGTTTTGAAAAAGAACTCATCTAATGATGATAATTCAACGTCAAAATACTTCTGGTTTAGGCGCTGGTTCCGGTTGAAGGTATCGGGCCCATTAAAGAGAACAATATGCAAGCGGTCCAGATGTCGTCATCGGGTGTACCTGGCTTTGAAGCAGTGAATCATGGAGCATTAAATAACTTTATTAGATTGCATATTACCCAGTCAAAACACATATTATGGAAATGATTATTATAATTGTTCTATGTTTTTACGTTTGTTGTTGTTTTTTTTGTTTCATCACAGTCAGGTCTATTTTAGCTATACCACGGTGACCTGTAGAGAGTTTGGGGCAGCAAATCATTGTTTGACAACACGAGCAACGAACCAAGTCCTCGGGGAACGAGGTCACACACTCGGGCGGTGATACAATGGAACCACGTGCACTGTACGTGGTCAGTGGTCTTGCGATAAGCATGGGGTATTGTGGAACTATTCTGATCCAGAATCGCACGCATTGAGAACTTACGTAACAAACTGAACGAGGGCGTGTATATCATATATTCAGTCGCTGATGATATTGACCGACAAAATGGTATATCAAACTAAAGTTTAATGGCACAGCGAAAGGATCAGGTTCTGGAGCCCGCGACAGGATTTGGGGTTCTCATCCCTGATACGCCCGATTATGACAGTGAGTTGGTCATCAGCGCTTGTCATCTGCGTCTGGTGGCAGTAATGCGACTACCTGACACAGAGCTCCCCTGGATACCCATCTCCTGCAATCATGTTCAAGCCTGCTGTCTTTTCACAAACCCCATGAGGGAGTATTTACAATGATTGCTTTTCAAATAAGATTGACAAAAACGAGAAGAAAGACGTTTATTTAGAATGACTGATGGCATTAAATGGATGTTTTTCACTACATAAAAGTTTAACTTATTTTTGAAAAGGTCTCATTAAAGAAAGCTATACATACTTCATCCTGATTTAATTTACTACTATAGTTAATTTTGGTGAATTGTGACTGTAAGTTCATATACACTGTATATATTCATGTGGCAGGATGTGAACATCTTTGTATGTCCTGGTGTGTGGGATTGACTGCCCAGTTATAACACATAATGCCATGAACAAAGACACTGGCCGCTTGATTCAGACACGTGTTCATGAAGACTTCGACTTGTATTCATGATGCCAGGTCCCCCGGCTTCCAATACAATATAAACCAAAAACTCTTCTCACAGGGTACACCAGGGAACAATTCCAGTATTATAAACTGCGGGCAAACTAAAGTGTACACTTGAAAACTGGATGGAACTAATTATAAACGTTAATCCAAAACGTTAATAGGCTGAAAATAGTCACCTAAACTTTGCAAATTTAAGGTCCAAAACACAACTATGATACCCGTATCCGAGACATCCCCATCTAATAATCATTTCTTGATTGTGTCACTTTTAGCCACCGGCCCAAAAGGATGTATATTTTTTTTGGCCATGGTAGCTTTCCTGCGAGGGTTGATTGATAAGTTATAAGCCTCACATAGAAACAAATGCGTATCTCTGGTTGCGAACAAAGAGGTATATCCACAAACGGCAACTGGACAAGTTGTTTCGCTGTAACAAATCAGTAAAATAAGCAGTTCTGTGACCTTTGGAAAATTGACAAACTTGAGGAACGTGTAGTGATTTCTTCGGAAGTTCATCTAAATGAACCGTTACTTTTTAAAAATAATGTGAGAACACTCAACGATATGTTACTCACGTCTGATCGACCTTTCTGTGGAGTATGCTATCCACATGTTTAACTGCATTATTTTCCCATACAACAAATGATACGAAAGTCTATTTTTCCTACACTGTAGAGCACTGTTCATGAAATGAATTGGCTTTTGCAACAGTGACGTAACAAGCGTACACGTTAAACCCCCAGCATCACGCTCATCCACCGTAAGATGAGGCTAGACGTTGTTCAGGATTTGGTTCACGCGAGGCATGCCGGGAGTACTAGATGAAGAAGACTTTAGTGTTCTTCCACTGGTGTTTGTTTTGGTGCTGCCATATCAACACTAACGAGGAGAATCTAAATATCTTTCCTATCAAAAGGTACACGATGACATGCGATTAATGGGGAAGTAAGTTCGATTTCAAAGTCCTTGTACCAGAAAACCCCGCTTGAATAGAGTGAGATGTATCTTGTCCATTAATTACACAGCCCAGGCGAGGAGTCCGGGTTATGTGTACGTTGCTTTCCACACGATCTTCCCGAGGCATTCACCTCAAGCGTTAATCCTCTCCTAGCCTTGGTGCAGCTGGATGAAGGGCCTATTGCTTCTTCTCTGTGGAAACAAACCGCCAGTACTAATGCCATGCATGCGCAGAAATGTGTGGCGGGTGTGTATACTGGGTTTCTTTAATATCACAAACAATAAGAGTTTAATTTGGGAGACAAGAGCAGCAAGTAGAACTGTAATATGAAAATAGAATGTGTTTGTTTATGACTGAGTTCCGTATTGACATAAAGCCATGCTCAATCAATTACCTAATCTCTTAAAGGAATGCCGTCTGCCCATACTATCTGTGACAACGTGTGGTGTATCATTTGAATTGCTTGCTTCCATAAGCCTCAATAGTACATAGTTCTTTATGACAGCAGTGCAGAGACATCCCATGAGAGATGACATTGATGTACCTGGACCTATTATCATGTTTATACATCAAATAATTGTAATTTCTTTTACATATGTGCTTCAACGTACATTGGTATACATAGAACATAACATTTTGTGTTTCTGTTTTGTTCTGTTTTTACTGAAAAGATCACACTCGCCAGCTATATTAAAACTGACAATATATAATCTGACATTGCTCACTGAAACCAAAGTCCCTTGGGCACGCGACAAATCTATGATTGTGGTTTCAAGTCCCGGTTCGCCCTGATTATGTTTCTGGGTTTGTCAGCACCATACCCGTGCTCGTTGGTTTCAGTGAAGTGGAAAACGTCTGAGACTTGTAGTACTTGGGATTTCCCCCACTCTAATTATAAGCTGCCAGGCCGTGATATAACTGGAATAATGTTAAAACAGGCGCTTGAACCAACTCACTCTCGGAATGTCAAATCTCCACCCTCAATGTTTATGTAGTGACTGAAACTTGTTTATAGGCTTCCAATCCGTTGTTTTTTTGTTGTTGTAAATATGGTCACCTTGTCATCCACAAACATTTGATATTCTGGGGGGCCTTGGATTTAAAAAAAAAATCCGACTCAGTTTAAAATAACAAAATATTAATCTACAACGGAAAACATCAACTTTCGTTTATTGAACATTTTGTATGTTAAAATCAGTGATATTTGTAAGGGAGATATAGGTACTTTGTAGTCTGTTCAGATTGTTGACTCACACACGTTTTCTTTTAATGCGAAAAGCACACAATGATTGTTTAGCTATTAGGTGCTCATAAAAACACTTGCTGAAAATCAACGTCTTCACGTCGTGAATATGCTGCAAACAGGTGTTGCGCCAAATGAAGCTGTTAGACATTTTAATGTTTTCCGAAACACAATACCATCTCTTTGGCGACGTTATCTACAGGAGGAGAACACTGTCACAGGCTGGTCATCTATGTGTGATGTCACGTCAAGAAGACAACCATATTCAGTTGTTGCATGTACGGAATCGATACCCGAGTGTCACATTAACAACTCGGACCATTCCTGGGTTGATGCTTCCACGTCGCCGTCAGTCGGGTCTAGCTTTCGTTAATTGAATATTTTTGTATGTTAAGATAAGGGATATTTTGAAGGGAGATATAGATACTTGGTAGTCTGTTCAGGTTGTCTATCTATTTTGTGCCTGAATAACATATTGTTTAAATCACATGAGCTTACCTCTTGGTCAAATGTGTGGCCAGATCAATAGCAAATATCCATAACAAAACATACATTACAGAAATATCCAACCTTTATTGAGTTGTTGTAACACCAGGTGTTCTATTTACCAATACTCATGTCGATAGAAAGAAAGAAAAAACATTATGGTACGAAAGATACTCAAACATGCTTTTGTTCTAAATCAATATACGAAGGTTATGCCGAAGCCATAAACTCTTAGAATGGTTTTGTGTAAGCTGGGACCTTGTCAATACCCTATGTGTAACATTATAGTCGTGTGTGTACACATAGAACGCAACAACAAACAGTCTTGATATCAGGAACGGTTTCTGCACAATTGATAAACATTCTGAAGTTGAGCAGGATTTGGATCAGATACGTTTCGGGGAGAGTTTAATCAGAAGCTTTTATTGACATGACATTTTTTATGCCCAGTTTCGTATTGCTGGAAATGTCTTTGATTCCTTTTGCATGTACTTTTTATGTTCAAAATAGTTTATTTATTTTGTGAAATTGTACCTAAGTACTTAATTCGAGTACAAAATCATGTCAAAAACAGTCAGGAATTATTTTGATGGTTGTTAATACACACTTAAATGAACCCAGTAAAATGATTTCCAAGGTCTCATTTGATATGTATCAAATACGTCAACATTGATCAGAAGTTCAGACTCACCTGTATTGGACATTCTGTTTAAATACTACATTTTCGTCTTGTGTCTTACTACAAATAACTGTGTTTACCTTTTGATACATATTTGTTTAAACAGTGAGTTCATTATTTTTCAACAAAAAACAAATCTTCATTTCAGAATAAATATGTTATGGTATAGGCATATCACTGTTGATTAAAGACACAATTGCGATTTGAAAGATTCTAGATGATTTTGATACATTGGCCTCTTATGAACAATGATATTCAGAAGCTCTCAGCTGCTGTTGACGTATTGGATAAAGTGGAATTTGATACTGTCCATTTTTAGTCATTGTTTACTTCATTTTCATGAAGAAAGAACGGATACTCTTCTGTTGTTATGAGAGCCAAGATATACTGAACCGCAAAAGAAACGTCACCATGGATAGATATATGAGAAACCTTATTTGTCCAAACACTGTAAACATACTTTGAGACATATCAAAAAGATGAAACTTGACAAAAATGATCATCAAGGTTGAAATTAAAGTGTCAAATGCTCTTAAAGTGAAACACATCACTAGTCTCTGAGAAAATGGCATCACAAGTCCGAATCTCGTGTGTCCGCCATTTGCATTGATGACTGCCGTGTAACGTCGATACATTGAATGGATGAGGCGGTTGATTAAGACCATAGGCACTTGAGCCCACACTCTGAGGAACGCCTGACGCAGTTCAGCTG